GCCCGCCGTCACCTCCTCACCACTCTATCCACACCACGCCCACCTCGCTCCTCGACCTCGCAGATCCGGATGGACAGGCACCACTGCGGGATCTCCTGGTCTCCTGAACTAGCACTTTGTTTTCTGGGGAAGGCATCTTCAAGGAACTGAACTCCACTCTGTGCCGTAAATGGTAATTTTTCAAAATGACCAAGTCTAAACGAAAGTCGGACTCCAGTTCATGCAGCCTGCTCCCACACAGCGTCTTACAGAGACAGACAGAAGGATGCCTGTGCTCGTCCATCACCCGCTGAGCACGCCAGGCCGACTGCCCCCTTGGTTTCAAAGCCTGAGTATGTGTGAAAGGCCTCCCTTCATGGGGACACATCCTTACAGTTACAGGGAGCGTCCTTGCAGGACAGGCCTCCCCAGAGACGGAGTCCCAGAAGGTCCTGTGTTGGGCGAGGACCTTCCCACAACAGCTTCCGGGGAAGCGCCAGGGTGCGTGGAAGGGCAGGAGGGTGCGCCCCGGGGGTGAGGACCCTCCCGTCGGGGTCTCCAGCCCCGCTCACCTTCAGGCGCAGGGGCAGGTCCTCGGGGCTCTTCCCCGCCAGCTCGTCATCCTCGTCGTCCTGCAGGAACAGGTTGGTGGGGATGATGCCCTTGGCGTACTTCTTAGTGATCTCCACGAAGTCATCCAGTGCGATGTAGTTCTTGGCTGAAGCACAAGAGAATGGCCCTGTGTCCACCCGAACTGCAAGCACACTGTCCCCCCGTGTGGACAAGCAAGGCAGGGGACAGCGGCTGGGGCCAGGCTGGGAGAGGAGCTGAGTGAGCTGCGGAGCAAAGCCCTTTCCCTCCTGGACGGACAGGCAAGGACCTGGCCAGTGGGGCTGCCGACCAGCCACCTCCACCCTGCCTCCTCACCTTGTGACATGCTGCTCCTCCCCCAAAGTGTCTCTCTCCTCAGCTCTTCAAGCCCAGCTCAAATGCCAGCCCTCCAGCCACCTTCTCTCACTTAGCTCTGGCTTCTCACAGCACCGGGACAGGTGCCCTGCAGCCCAGACACCTACCATCCCCTCCATCCAACACGCTGGGCACTTTCCTTAGCGCTGGGAAATGCTTGGGATGCTGCACAAACAACCCCGTGTGTGCCCGAGTCTGGGCTCCCCGTCTAGTGGGGGAGTCACACTAAATAAGGCTGGCTGCTGGCTGTGGGCTGCGTCCACGTTGGCAGCTCTCTTCCGGGCAGCAGAGGGGGCTGCCGGGGAGGCTGGGGGGAATGAACAAAAGCGATCTCGCCTGTGACCAGGCCACCGGATGCAGGCTGGCCCTGCCACGTCTGCCGTTCACTAGGTATTTCTGAGGCGTCCTGTCGGGGGGCTGTGTTCTGGGTGCTGGAGACACAACGAGCTGATCAGGGAAGACAGCAAACACCGGCGATAACAACAAACAGTGTATGAACGCAGCGAGCACCAGGGGAGACGGCAGAGCGGAGAAGCAGACGCTCGTTAACCTTGGCGGGGACAAGGAGGGAACGGGAGCCAGGCGGGGGGCCCGTGGGCCCCTGAAGGATGCCAGCTTCTGCCTGAGGGAGAGGGCACTCAGGAGGGCCTCGGTGGGAGGGTGTGATCTGACCTGGACTGAGGGGCCCTCAGGGGCCGCCGAGAATAAACTGCAGGGAAAGGGTGCAGCACAGAGACCTGTCAGGCCGTGGCCTCTGGGATCACTCTAAGGGCAAGGGAAAGCCACTGGAGATCTCTGAGCAGGCAAGCGAGAAGGACGGACTAGGCCTGGGCAAGAGAGAAGAGATGACCACTTAGGAGTGTGGCGGGAACCCCAGGAGGAGGTGGCAGGACCGGATCCGGATGGTGGCTGTTGGGGGTGGAGCATGGAGAGCTGATGGGATCTCCTAACAGAGCAGGTGTGGGTCACACAGAGCAAGAAACAGGAGTCAAGGAGAGCACCCTGGAAGCGGTGGCCACCACGAGGACGGGGCGGCCGGGGGAGGGCTGTGCTGGGGTGGATACACGAGGTCTGAGCTGACCACGAGACAACCAGGAGAGAAGATGTGGAGTGGGGGCTGGACGCACGGGGCTGAGTGGCCTGGTGGGGGCGGGACATTTGGGGGTCATGGATGGCATGTGACACCACGAGACTGGCCACTGAAGCAGTGAGTATGGGCACAGCAGGAGTGTGGGGGCAGCTCCAACGTCCCGAGGGCTGGGAGACAGGAAAACCGTGTCAGGACGCTCAGAAAGAGTGGCCAGGGCAGCAGCAAGGACACCGCGAGGGCAGGGCCTGGAGGGTGGACGGAGGGTGCGAGTGAGGAGGAAGAGCGGCCACCTCCGTCCATGCTGCCGACGGACTCCCTGGGACAAGGACAGAGAACCGACCTAGAAGTAGGGTCACCAGGGACCCGGACGAGAGCCACTCTGGCGGGACGACAAGGGGAGAGGATGCCCCTTTCTACGAGTTTCCTTGGAAAGGGGAACAGAGAAACAGGGACAGCTGATGGGAATGTGGGGTCCAGAGACAGTTTCATCCTTTTTGCTGACGTGGGGGAAATAAGCACATGTTTGTAAACAGCTGAGAATGTTCCAGTGGAGAGGGGAGAAGCTGATGGGGAGGGGCAAACGCTGGGGCGACGTCCTCGAGGGGCGAGGGGAGGGCTGAGCCGGCAGGGAGGGCTAGGCTGGGCCCCATGGACAGGACGGTCCACACCCATACAGAGGCCTGGGACCCGGTCTGTCTGAGCCAGGGCGTGAGGTTTTCCCATGTGGCCCCATGACCTCCTGACAGTTGCTCAGTCCACAGGAAGGCTCTGCGGAGGTTAACCCTAAAATCCCCAGGAGGAGCAGGCCTGGCCCGACACTGACCTCAGCTCCGGCCGCCACCTCATCCCAGGAGCAACTTACGACCTCGCCCACTGCTGCTCAGGACACCTCAGCCCAAGTGCACCCAGACCCCCGGCACCTCCGGGCCTAAAACTATTCAAAAGGCGCTCGTTGCTTGGGTTTCCATCTGTCACAGATTTCTCTCCGTTTCAGTGAGACGCACTGCCTTGCCTCCCCAAACGGAGCAGGAACGCAGCCCGGGGAGCCCCACCTGCCGCGGCCTCGGGAAAGCCACTCAGACTCACGATTGCATCGTCCCCCGAGTCCCAACGACCCTTCCTGACAGACTCCTCACCAGCCCAGCTGGAAGGGGGGATGTGCACCCCACTCTGTACGATGCCCCCCCCCCCACTGCCACAGAAGCTCTTAGCTCTGGCAGGGTCCTTTAGCCCTCTAATCTGACATCACTGTGCAGAAGGGGAAACCGAGACCAGAGAGGAAACCAGACCTGTGCGAGGTCACGTGCAGAGGGGTGGCAGAGCCGGGGGAGGCCCGGGTCTCGTGTTAGTGCTGAGCAGTCCCCAGGTCCTCCCACCTGTGTCTCCTCCAGGATGGGTGCCCGGGACACAAAGACCAAGAGCCCACCCCACAGGCTGGGCGGCTGCACACGGAGGATTTGAAGGTCTCTTCTAATCGGATGTCCCAAAGGCACCCCAGCTCCGTGCGCCCCAAGCCCCCATCCCTCCTGCTGCATGCTATGCTCTACACTCCCTACCTTCCCGCGGCCCACGCTGGGGCACAGCCCCCACGCTCCCTGCGGCGAGGGTCCCCTCCGGGCCTTTGCTCGCGCAGTTCCCTCGCCTGGAGTGCCGTCCCGTTGTCCTGCACGGGCTAACGCCCTCCTTGCCCCTGCTGACTCGCTCAGGCACCCCAATGTGCCCACCTCCCACCCCACTTCTCCGTCCTGCAGGGACCGTCCTGCATCTGTCCTCCCTCCAGCGCCTGGGGTCCCGGTGGGCAGGGTCCAGATCCTGCGCCCAGGACACTGACGCCCAAAAAGACAGCTCCAAACAGCCTGGACTGAAAATCCAGTTGGCCTCTGAGAGCCTGGGGCCTGGACTCTGCAGAAAGGGGCGGGCGCAGTGCCCAGGATGGTGGGCGGGGCAGCACGGCCGAAGGCAGCCCGGGCGCAGGACTGACGGCCGTACTCACCTTCGCTGCTGACCAAGCGCTCCAGCACTCGCCTCTGCTTCTGCAGGGACTTGGGGACGGGGCCTGGCTGTGCCCCTCCATCTGCAGGGGACAGAGCGAACTGAGAATCAGGGCAGGCTGACTGTCCCCTCATGCCCTGCAGCCCTCCAGAAACCGGCCCGTGTACTCCTGCGGCATCCCCGAGCTCTAGGGACTACAGGGCCGGGGCCTCATGTAGCCCTTGGTGCAAGGGCCAAGTGCATGGGCCACTGCCCTGGGCAGCCACCTCTCGGCCTCCACTCCCTCGGGTGACTCAGCGCCCTGCAGGGCACTCCCATCCCACTGGGCATAGCCTGTCCCCCCTGTGGATGCAGTCGGAGCACTGGACACACAGTGCTCTCTGGTCAGCATAACCTGTCCCCAGACACCTTTGCTGGCGTTGTCCCTTGGTGTGATTTTCCCCTGGGATAGACTGAGCTCCCCAGGGCCAAGGCCAGGCCTTCCCCTGTACCCCGGCCCTGGTGCAGGGAGAGGCTCCACACGCACCTGTTCAGTGAATGAACACCGAGCCAGGACTGAAATGTTCCGCCTTTTCATCAACACCCACCCATCCACCGCACCCCCATCCAGCAGGCGTTTCCCAAGCTCCTCCCACGGGCCAGGCACTGAGGCGTGCCTTTGCAGGCGCAGGCCAGGCAGGAGCCAAGGGCCACGGGAGCCCGGGCGAGCTGGAGCTGGCCCAGTGGTGGTGGTTGAGGGGGCATCAGGAGAGGCCTGGCTGTGGCACTGAGGCGTCTCTGGGGCTCTACACAGGGTGCCCGGAGCCCCTCACGTCAAGCACACCTCTTGGCGAGGGCACTGCCACCCAAGCCCCAGGCCTCACAGCCACCTCTGCTCGTCCCCAGCACCTGGCCTCCTACCCCGGCCAGGAGAGCAGGCGGGTCACCGGGGTCAAGTCAGACCAAAGTCCTGCCCCCAAGACCCCAGGAGGAGGGGCAGAAGTGTCTGTCTCTGATGCTGTCAGCCCTGGCTGGATCTGCCCCCGAGGGCAGGAGAGGCTGGGGGAGCCCCAGGCAGAAATCCACTTTCTGAACAGCTGGAGGCAGGAGGAAGAGTCAGGTGGGCCTGGGGAAATGCAGAGGCCACACCCAGGCAGGGACGCCGGCTCTCCCGCCCAGTTTGTCCATCCGGCTGGCTGCCCGTGCTCTTTTGGGAAAGCTGGGTTAGATGAAGGCAGGAGAGGCCTAGGGAGGCTGGGAATGAGGACCATGGAGAGGCTATTGGAGCCACAACAGGCTGGTGCCCCTGCAGCCTTGGGGACCCGGGTCCCTGCCCACATCTGTCACACCCCCACTCTCCGTTCCCTCAGGAGGAGCTGGACACCCTTAGAACGACCAGGTCTGGGCAGGAGGGGGAGGGAACCCCAAGGGGTAGAGCGAGTGAAGGTGGAAGCAAAGCAGGAAGGGCCTGCTGGGCACCCAGACCGCGTGCTGAACCCAGAGCTCAGGGTGTGGCTTAGCAAGGACCCCATGAACAGGAGGAAGCCCCAGACCCCCCGGGAAAGACCTTCCCTAGGCCTTGGAGGAGACATGAGGCCCCCACAAGAAGTCCCTGGGGGCCCCCAGTTAGGCTCCCAAAGTCCCCACAGGGCTTCCAGAGGGAAGCCCCCAGAATTCCAACAGAAAAGCCCCTGAGGTCCCCACGGGAAGGCTCGCGTACCGTGCTCATTGACCTGACCGACGTTCTCCAGCAGCTCCGACACGGCCACTTGCTTCTTCTTCTTGGGGTTGAGCTTCCAGTACATGACCAGGGCCGCCTTGCGCACGGCCCGCTCCAGGTCGGTCTCGGAGGAGAGCTGCTTCACCTCCTGCTCATTCTCGGAAGTGATGCCTGAGAGACAGGAGGCATTAGAGGCTTTGTCCTGCCCGCCTGGAAGCCTCAGTGACACTCTGAGCCCTGGCCAGCTCTACCTGAAGGGGCCTGGGAAGGGACTCACGTGAGAGGCCCTGGGTCACCAGGGCAGAAACGAACACTTGACCAAAAAGGACATCTGGCCAAAGTTCCTGCTGGTGCCCACTCTGCAGGTCAGGGGCTCAGCCTGGCCTTTCAGCAGACACTCACCAAGTGACCACTGTGGGCAGGCACTGTGCAAGGCCTTCCGATCCTCCTGGTTTGCTCCCTTCTTCCATTTTATCTTCAGAAGAACCCTCCAGAGTAGGTACTGCTATCCTCATTTTACAGGTGGAGAAACTGAGGCACACAGGCGTGTCCTGGCTTGCCCAAGGCCACGGAGTCAGAAAGACTCAGAGCCAGTCTCGAACCCAGGTCGGACTCACTGCACAGTTACTGTCCACAGTGCCTCACAGGCGCTGGCCACTCCCAAGGCATCCGGGAGAGCTGCGCTCCCGCACAGACGGCCCTTTCCGAGGAAGACAGACTTGCCCACAGAGAGAGACAGGGCGCAGATTTCACAGGCCGGTCAGTGGCCGCCTTTCTCCTTCATTCCAACTGCCAGGGACATCAGCATGCCCCTCCCAAAGGGCAGTACGACTTGGGATGGAGGGTTGGGTTTTTCTCCTTTTAAACATTTTCCACCAGAGCACACATTTCCTTTATGATCAGGAAGCACTCAATGTGAGAATGTGGGGGGCGGGGTATGTGAGGCCCGGCCCAGCCCCCTCCCTCACACAGCCTCCAGTCCCGGGTCCTGACTTGGCTTCCTCATGGCCTCTGGGAACCACCAGCTCCAACAAGTGGGCCACAGTGACTCATCCAGCCAGCGCAAGGGGAGGTTCTGTCTGCTCCAGAAAGGGGAGGTTGGGTGGGTGAGAAATTCTGGCTAATAGAATACTCCCGGTCCATGTTTTCAAAGGTACCAGTCCAATTTCCAAAGAAAGCAGATTCTATATAATAAATGTAACTCTTAAAAACATTTGAAACAAAACCAGAAGGAAATACATTCAACTAGGAACTGCTTCTCTCTGGGATTCAAGGTCATGGGTAATTTGTATCTTTATGTTTTCTATATATTCCAAGTTTTCTACGATAAACATAAACACTTTTATTATCTGGAAAAAAAATGTCATTTAAAAAATCCCCTTATGATACACACTTTCATCTTTCTCTGAGGTGTGGAACCTTCAGGAAGCACACTCCCCCATGACACCAGGGATGAGCCATGTCCCTTGGGCAGGATAATGTACTAAGCGACCACATGTGGCCAGGCTATGCTTCCTGCCCCCCCAATACCCACCACTCTAGCAGCGAGTGCATCTGTGCAGGTCTTCCCTGGCCTACGGTCCCCCAGCCGTTCCACCAAGACTGGATGGAAAGTCAGTCCAGAACGTTCCATTCTGCCTCAGGCCACTGTCACATTCTCCAACTTGACCACAGTGAAGCTGACCCTCCACTGGCTCCAGGGGCTGCTCCTCAATTTGGATTAGAACCCAGACGGGATCTATTGTAGACACCAGCACAAGCCAAAGAGAACGAAAGTGGCTTTGTTTGATAAGATCCCGTTACGCTCTAGAAACAGTGCTGACACGACAAACACTAGCAGCACAGAAACTACTCTTCTTTCTCCGCAGCGTCTCTGTTGCTAGTGTTTCCCTCCTTAACTGAGGGAGCAGCACTCACGCCTCACGCAGACCCACCTTTCCTGTCCGCCAGGCACCGGCGCAGCAGCTTGACGGCCTCGCGCCGGCCCTGCTTGGCGGCGAGGATGAGCCAGTCCACGGCAGTGCAGTTGTTCACCTCCTCGTCCGCATCGCCGGCGAGCTGCAGGTAGCGCTTCCCCACCTGCGGGGAGCCAGACCCGCTCAAGCCGCACCTGCAGCGGCCTCCTGCTCCGCGTGCCGGCCCGAGTGCCTCCCTGCAGCCGCGCCTCCTCTCCGCCCCTGCCCCCGCCAGCCCACCTCCTCTCACCCCCTTTGTCACCCAGGCCAAGGAGAAAGGTGGCTGGAACGGGGTCCCACTGGGCCTCTGCAATGGGTGGGGCCTGTTGGGCCCTCAGGGCCCTTGCTCCTCCCCAGACGGTGAGGAGAGTGAGACAGCCCCTCCACAGACGAGGTGAGAAGGGGCGGGGGCACCGAGGACAGGCCAGGAGCAGGGACAACGTCCTGAAGGAGGTGGTGCCCAGCACCAGGAGTGAGCTGGACATGCAGAGGGACACATACTCCCCAGACGGTGGCAGGAGGACAAATGACACGTGAACACGGGAACACAACAAGGGGGGCCAGGCACACGGTGGGCGCAGTCAGGCCGGCCCCCGCTCTCCGTTCTCATGGCACGGGCTTCTCCGAGGGCCACCGTGCTGGGGGCCGCAGCCTGAGCCTGCGGCTGGACACCGGGGTGCTTACCTCTGTCTGCGCCTTGGGGTCCCCGGCCTTGGCCTTCTCCAGGACTTCTTCAAAGGGGGTTTCCATGTCTCCCTTCACGGGCCCTTAAACACGGGAAAGACAGACAGACAGAATGTCATGAAGCTGGTCCTTGTTGCTTGTCAGAGGAGCAGTGGGGACGGCGGGAATGGGCTTCAGACCCGGAGCAGCTTCTCACATTAACATCCAGGTCAGCTGCAGGAGAGCAGATCCAGAGAGAATATGCCAGAAAGCTACCTTCCGAAGATGCAAACAGCCTCGGAGCAGATGGCCAAGCTACCGTGGGAGTGATTTGCAGCAGCAGCTCAGTCTCTCGGGTGCGAGGTGTGGGAAGGACGGGGGCACAGACTCGAGTCCCACCATCACCCCCCAGCTCACTGCAGCCAGGGCAGATGAGCTTAGGCCTGCTGTTACTGGGGCTCTAGAAAGATCCAAGGGCTCAAGTTTAAAAGCCACTGACCTATATAAAGAACCTGCACCCAACGCCCAGTACCCCAATAAACAAACCAAATTCATGTTTTCCATGATTGTGTCGTCTACACACGTTTTTGGGAGGTCATAATCAGAGTACAGACATTTTGATACACAGATGGCATCCCAAATACAAAATAGAGGAAGATTGGCACGGATGTTGGCTCAGGGACCATGTTTCTCACCAAAAAAATAAATAAATAAAAGGTTTTGGAAAAGTCATTTTTTACCAGCCCCCTTCTCTGATTTACACAACCAATGTTTGGCGCCTACGTCCAACTCCACACCTTGCCTCCATCCATTGCCACACCCCACCTTGGCAGGTAGCAAGACACCTCGAGATGACACGTGGGATGTGGCTGCAGCATTGCCGACCACACAGTAGATGCTTATTAGAGGTCAACAGACTCTCACTCTAGACATTTCTGAAAACAGAAGGCAGAATTCAGGGAAGCAAGTACAGTCCCCAGTAATACTGCCTGATCCACCAGCCTCTCCTATCCATTCATCCAGGTCTTTCCCAGAACCAACTCTGCCAGGCTCAGAGACGCTCTGCAGCAACCACTGCCACCAGCCCCTGTGTTCACAGCGCCCGAGTCTACAGGACATAGGACTCCAGGAGGAGGCAGCAAGGGCGCAGGCCTGAGGCACCACAGCCTTCGAGGTTCAAAGGCCGAGGGCTCACATCCCGTTTGGAGGGAGCACAGGGTGCTGGGGACGGCTCAAAGGGGAGGAGGATTACTCAGGAGACCCCACAGATCAGGCATTGGCACTGCGGCCCTCTTGGTGGACGGTTTGCAAACACAATGACCCCTCTCGCTGCGGAGTTCAGACTGGGCTCCTCGCCGAGGTCCTCAGGGACCTTACCTGGCAACGGCTTCAGCACCAGGAGTCCGTCCGCCCTTCCCCAGCGGCCCTGGACCTCAGTGCTTCCTGAGTCGTCAAGGTCAGTGCTCCCTTCTGGCTGCATCACAGCACCTCCAGCCCCTGGAATGTACTTTCTGGCCAAGGGTTCACACTTAAGAGAACAGGAGAATGCGAAGCCTGCAGGCTCCAAGCCAGGGTCCCTCCTGCGGGCTCACAGGGAAGGAATGCGTGCATGCAGAGAAATCTGACCACGTGTGAATCCGCCCTTCCCATCAGAGAGCCGCATGACCCGGCGAGAGCCATTTTCAATCCAATTGTTAATATCCATCCAATAAAATGGTTTATGAAGAGTTAGATACTTTGTATTAAGTGACTGGTCCAGAGTTGGCATTCCCAAAATGTGAGTATCTTTTCCCTCCCCACTCCCCATTGCTCAGCTGACCCCAGGGCCTTTGCTGCTCACTGATGCTGCACTTCACAGTGTAACACCGGGCACCTCTCATGAGTTCAAAACTCTTTTCTTTACTAACTGAATTCATAAGTCCACCTTCTTCTTCTTTTTTTTTTTTTAATCAGACTGTAGAAGATTCAAGCATGCATCTGTTGGCTAAAATGATTATTCTAGTCCATGATTAATTTTCACAAAAGTTATTCATAGCCTGACATTTTAAGAAGTCTCCCCAATATACAGAATCTCTTTGAAACATACACAACACCTTCTTCGTTATTCCAGTCTACATTTGACACTGGTAGAAATATTTCTACAACCACTCAAATGCTGGGCTCACGCTGCAGAACAATCAGAGGGTTCTGGCTTTTTCCATTTAAGTAGGAGCCTTCACACAGGTCAAAGGCAGAATCCAACTGTCTTACCGTTCAGTGCAGTAAGAGGGCCTCCGGAAGCCAGCTGAGACAGTGTGGACACAGACGCACATGTTCTCTGCAGGCCCGACCTCCAACCCCGGCTTCTTCTGGTAACAGCACCTCGATGTCCCTTTGGGGACCCACCCGCCCCCACTTTCAGTCCTCAAGCTCTGGTGGCACTCCCCCTCACCCCTGATGCAGGGTGGGCTGTCAGCCCCGCTGGCCCATCAGAGGGCTCCATCTCCCTGACCACAGCACCTGGTTCAGGGATGGACACAGACCCAAGTCAGGCTGAATTGCTGGGAAACAGGCTTCCTCCTTCTGCTGGATCTCGGCTGACGGACGCCAGCTTGGAGCCCTGGAGGGCTGCGCCAGAGAAGAGCCCACCTGAGAGCGAGGGCACACAGGAAAGCAGAGTTGAGGGGGAGATTCCTGATCACATCATCTGAGCCCCTGGATCCAGCCATGAGTAAAGCCAGCATACTCTCGACTCTACAGATATAGGGGACTAATAAATCCCCCTCCGCCCCTGTTTTATTGCTTGTATCAATTTACACTATGTTTCTGTGTCACCTGCAACTGAAAGGGTCCTGAGTTGAACTGGGTTTTGAGAGTCTTCCTATCCATCACACAGCAGGAATAACTAGAGCTGCAGGGCCTTGGGCAGGTCTCACCACCTCTGCCAGCATCCCGGGAGAACCACGCCCCGCCCCATCTTTTAAATTCCTTATCTCCCAGGGACCCCACACACTTGAAGGATTTATGTGTGCCACATCAAATTAGTAAATACCCCTCATCTTCTCAGGTGCTCTCCAGGAGAGGAGTACCTCCAGGACGCCGTCCCCCTCCCTGGCACAGCCCATCACGTTTTCTTGCTGGAACCTGGGAAAGCGTCTCCCACGGCTCCCATCAGCCTTTATGGGTCTGTGTCCAGTGGGTCTGACCCGTCTCCATCCCCAAGCTTCTGGCACCGTGCTGGACAGTGCAGCTCAGGAAATGTTGGACGGACAGAGGGATGAATGATGGGGACTGATGAGAGAAAGACGGTGGCTCTCACCTCTGTCCGCCCAGATCCGAGCGCCGGGCCTGGGACACAGTCCACGCTTGGCCTGGTGGCTGAACTGCCAAGTTTGACTCCTTGGTTTGAGCAGGTACTTAGTAGAACTGGAAAAGAGTGGTGAGCAGGTGTTGCCCCCACTCACCAAGAGTGTCAGGACCACCCCAGGGCTGTGAGCTGGGGAGCCTCGGGCGTCCCTTCCCAACAACCCCTGCGTAAACGCCAGCTCCGCCATGCATGAAGCTCTCCCAGAGGCGGTGGGAACGACGAGAAAGAAGCTGGCTTCCATTTTCACATGACTGCTGCTATCTGCACACGCTGAAGTACAACTTTTTACACTGCTGAATACATGTCAAAAGCTTTTAAAGAGTGCAAACTGAAACGTAGTAAATGTCTATGATGCACTACTCCTGTCTCCAAGGTGGCTGCTGCCACCTCTCACTTCCTTACCCGCTGCCCCTGGACAGGTCTTAGCCTCCCAGAGTCCCTGGTCCTCTCACGACACCCACCACAGGGGCTGTGGTGAAGGGCCAAGTGAAAAGGAACCTGGGGCACATCATGCATCCTTATCATCACTGTGGCCAGAGCACGGGGAGCTGGGGTCACATTACACCAAGGCGGCGTCCCCCACATGGGGAGCTAAGGTCACCTTACACCAAGGGGGTGTCCCATACACTCCCACACACGGGGCGCTGAAATCGCCTTGCACCAAGGGGACGTCCCACACACGGGGCGCTGGGGTCGCCTTGCACCAAGGGGGCGTCCCACACACGGGGCGCTGGGGTCACCTTACACAAGCAGGTTTCCCATCAGCCTTTGTGACGCTGACTCTGGTTCTCATGAACAATCCTTGCAACCCTGTCTCTTTCTGGGGCTGGCTGAGCTCTGAGGTGGGGGGTCCGGGCCGGGAGGTCCGCCCTTCCTACAGGCCCTGAGCAGGAGTCGTGGACTCTGCCCCTCTTCCCCGAACAGACTTTCCCTGAGCACAGGCCCACACCAGTCTGAGTGCCAGGGGCCGCAGGCAATGAGCTGACCCTTGCCCTCAGGGCCCGCCAGGGGGCTGGGCAAGGATGATCACATTCCAACAGTGCAGGTTCATGGGCTGTGGAGGTGCCCGGAGTCATTCATCCTGATAGGGTGGGTGATGCCTGAGGCTTTGAATGCAAGTAGGAGGCTAAAGGTGACCGAGGAAGGACACACTGCCATGTTTCCAGGAAACCAGGGCCCCCGGGGGGAGCCTCACCCGACCCTGCCATCCATCCTCAGGACAGGTCAGCCTACAGCGAAGGAGTCACAGCATGGGCCCGGCGACCAGACAGACCAGGGCCTGAATCGGGGCCAGGACAAAACAGCACAGGTAAAAATCCTCCTACGTTATCAACGGCACGTTGGCCGGACAACAAGAACCCGAGTCGTTTACAGCTGTGACCTGTCCCCAGGACAGCAGGGCCTCAGCGCTCCGCACCCGCTGGCACTCCCACAGCCCCCTCGACTCCTGACCCTCCTCGGCCCCCAGCCCCAGCATCCAGGACCAAGCTCTGAACCCCACTGGGAGACCACCCACCACCCACTCAGCACTCCAGCCAGAGACCCGGCTCCAGCCTTGCTTCCTCTGCCCCCCAACCCCCTCAGCTGCCTGTCTCTCGCTGCCCCCGCCCCTCGCTGGCCCGGCTCCCACGGCCGCCGCAGGGGTGGTCCCCACACGTCTGCCCAGGCGGCTTCTGCTTTAACGTGACAGAGAGCACATCATTCCTTTGATCTAAACCCTCGAGTGCTCCCAGGAACACCCCATCTCCTCATCCTGACCCTTGAAGCCCTGCTTGGCCTGGCCGACCCCTTGACCCCACGCTCCAACCCCTGCCTCGGGCGCCATCAGCCTCGGAGCCCCTCGTGCCCAGTATGCCCTGCATCGTGCAGGCCCTTCTTCATTTACCCCCTCAGCGTCTCCCCTCCAGGAGGGGGCCCCTGCCTGTCTCACCCACTGCCTCCTGCATCCGGCTGGACAGGCCCTTGGGCAACCCTGGGGTGAATGCTTCCTCGTACCCCCACCCAAGGGTTCCACCACCATCCCTGTCCATGGCCCTGCGGCCGCCTGAGTGAGCACTGGCCCGGCACCGACAGCTGGGAGGCCTCACAGACTCAGCAGTCCTGTGGCTGGCGATCCACTGCGACCCAATGAAGTCAGCAGAAAGGGCGCCTCGTGCTCCACGGGCCCCTGCACAGTGCCCCCCACCTCAGGACACAGTTACTTGTATAGTTCTGTCTCTCCCTCGCCCGGGGGCTCCCGGGGGCAGGCCTGAGCCTCCACCCCTCTGACCAGAGACAACTCGGGGCCGGCTGATGAGCCTGGGCTCAAATCCCAGCCATCTCTGCTTTGCTCACGCACAGGGCTCCCTGGAGAGACTGACCTAGGCACTGGGCACACGGGCTCCGTCTGTGGTCACCACTGTCACCAGTGGTGCTCATTACACCTTGGCTAGATGGACAAGTGGTTAATTCATTAAAGCCGACTTGAAAAGCCGCTCCCTGGGCAGATGCTCTCCGAGCTGCGCAGGGCCCTGCTATGTCCATATCAGTGACCAGTGACAAACATAGAGCAGCTGGGGAAAGTGAGGTAGCACGGCCCAGATGTGGGGGGTTGGGACTCCAGGCGGTCAACCTGCCCCCTGTGCTCGCTCCACACTCCCTTCCCCACCCTTGGGGGCAGAAGCCACACAGAGACCACATCTGTTTCCTGACTCTTCTTATCTGAAAGTTACAGCCCTGACTCTGTCCTCCAAGGGCTGTTTTGCATCACCCAGATTGAAACCAAGCACATCCCCAGCCCTGGTTTCCGGGCCCCAGGCCATGAGGCACGTGTGGCCAGGCCAAGGTTCTGGGGTCAGGCCCTGGCCTGCCCAGCGGCCTTGGAAACAGAGCAGAGAACACAGTGATCTCCGAAGTAGATGTGAAGATCAGAAGAGCCGAGAACGGGGAAGTTTCTGGGGTAAATCGGCGCTGGTCCAGTGTGAACGGCACAGGGAGCCTCAGGCCCATTTCACCAGCGCTTGGAGATCCACGTGGCTCTGCTGGGGGGCCCGTGTAAGACAGCAGACTCGGGGCGCCCATGCGCCCATCACTCGGCAGCTGATCACCTGGGCAAGTCTGTGCCTCAGTTTCTTTCTCTCTCACTGGGGATAACAACAGAGCTTCCCTCACAGGCAGCTGTAAGGGGTCATGCAGACCCTGAGGAGAGTGGTGCCCACAGTAGGTGTACCCAGTAGGTGCTCATCGGGGGTGTAGCGCCTCTGCATGGGGGCTGTTGCTGAGCTGAGGGTACTCACCTTAGGCAGCTGGCCTCTCTAACGGAAAAACAAGTGATAAAGGCCGGGTGAGCAAGAGGAAGGTGAGGTGAGGCATGCCAGGCGGCAGTGGGGGCTGGGGCTTCCTGAACTCACACAGACCCCTGGGGGGAGTGAAGCCCCATCTCAGCTCAGCCTGTGAACAGGAGAGATGTCACAGCATCCCGCCACGTGGTGGCGGAGGAGATAGAGAAAGCATCACTTCCACGCACGCACACACACGCACATGCACACATGCACGTACAGTTTGTAGCACAACAAGCCTCCCTCAGGGGAGAGAAGAAATCTGATGTGTACGCAGAAGCCTCTAAACGCAGACACGCACAGCCCCGAGCTGATGTCAGGACCAGTCACCACAGAGGAATTCAGCGGGAGTCATAAAACTTGATGGATGCACTGCTGTGGGGTGACCCCCAGGAGGAGGTCTGAAGAGGACTCAGTGAGGGAAGCAGGGGCCCAGGAGGCTTGGTGACATTCACAAAGCACACCAAGTTTTGCAGCTCCAGGTACAGAGCATCTCTGTGCGCCACCAGGCCAGTACCTACAGGGACAAGGGGGCCTGGACTCCGCACAGCATCCCTCCACGCACACGGGGCCTGGTGAATGTTCGCTCAGGCACAAAGTCCCGGCACCAAGTCCCAGCACCAAGTCCCAGCACCGGCGTACTCCCCACGGCGCCTCCATGTGGTTAGTATGATCGTGCCCACTTTACAGACACAGAGACAGGCTTGGTGAGGCCTCCCGACTCCCTCCAGGGCACACAACTCAAGGCCACCAGCCGAGCTGACAGTCACACTTCAGCCGGTCTCTGGCCCTTCCTGGACCACCTCAGGGCCCTGACACTCAATAAATAAACAGTTCGTGTGGACAGATGTGTGCTCCAGGAGGCCTGGCTGGGGGAGCAGGACACACTCACGGAGAACAGGCACTGGCACCAAACCACAGACAGCGTTTGTCAAACTGCAGATTTCGACCCAATAGGTCACAAAATCAACTTAAGCACCCACAAGCGGCATTTGTTTTTAAACAAGAGGAACAGAATGGAGACTATCAGACCGTGCCACACACGGTAGGACAGGTATTGTTTTGGAAGTTTCCATTCCCACTGAGTGTGAGCGTGAGCGTGTGTGCGTGCGTGCCAGGTTAGGACAGCACATGTATCTCTTGCTGTGGGTCAGGTCAGAAAGAGGCGGAGCACCTTAAGAGCTAGGTAGGCTTTCAACAGGTGGAGATGGTGACGGCAGATTTGGGGCAGAGGCTCCTATGCAGCAAAGGGGAGGCGGGAAACGTGGAGGCAGATCTGGAGAACATGGAATGGTCTCCGTGTGCAGGGAGGAGTGGGCGGTAACCCACAAAGAGAAGTAACGGGCTTTCACCACCCACCGAGCTTTTAGACAGCAGAGCCGGAGCAGGCTCCGTTCTTTTCACCCCATCTGCAATCAGAGCTAATGGTCCCTACTTCGCAGGGCTGGGTGCTGTGAGAATAAGACGGACGATGTACTGAAAGTACTGGGTAAATGCCCAGAAAGAGCAATGCTAATACCGGCTATGTTTCCCCAAACGTCACAGCCAGAGGCCCGGGCTCCTCCCTCTTGAGCATCCATGAAACTCACAGTGAGGCATGAGCATTTCTACCCGCAACAGCCCCTAAAACATGAAGACACCTCTCAAACAAGGCTTGTGTTAAGGCCTGGTGACCGACCCTGTCCCCCCTCACTCCTGGTGTATCTCAATCACAGTCCAGACACACGAGCATTGTCACCCTTGACCCCTACCATTCCTCCTCACCACCTCGTCACCCGGAAGAGGTCTGAGGTCCCCACCCACACCCCAGGCGAGCCCATTTCTTCCTTCCAGCCCTTGCCCAAGCTGTGCCCTCTTCCCCCAGGCTAACACTTGCTCAGGCATCATCTCTTCCTAGAAAGCAGGCTTGCCACCCGCCTAGCCCTGGGTCCAGGGCCACCTCTGTGCTCCCTAGGCCCCATTCTTCCCTCTGCTCCTCCCTAGACTGTGGATTCCTTGGGGGCAGGTCCAAATCACTGGTGCCGCCCATGGCCACATAGGGCCGGCAAACGACCATGCTTAGTGAGCAGCAGGTGGACAGAGGATGGACCAAACCTGAGTGCCCCTCCTCCAACATCAGCGAGGCGCCCGGCACCACAACCAGCTGTCCCGTCCCACCCAGGTCCTCACACCCTCTCGCCTCTGCCCCTGGGGGATGCCTCCTGGAAAAGTCTGAGGGAGTGGAAACCTGAGGAAGCCCAAAAGTGGACTGGGGGGGACAGCCCTCAGCAGCCCGGCCTGGAGATGGAGGACAGTGGTCCAGAGGGCAGTGGGGACCTGGGCCCAGGTGCATTCCAGGGTGGCAGCCAGCCCTGGAGAGGGGAGGCCATGTGGGGCCTCCAGACTAAGCAGAGCTGCCTGACCAAATGGCCCCTGAGGAGTGGCCACAGTGGACAGGGGACAACGTGGGCTTCCCCAAGTGCTGTGCGGGACCAGAGCTGGGGGAGGGAAGCCTTCCGCCCCCTGCACAGGGCCTGGTGCAGAACCGCCCGCCAGCCCATAGCATGAGCAGGTCGGAATTGGAGCCACTTGATTATAAATAAATTAGGAACCGTGACGTCTGCCGCATTCCAAGTTTGTGAACTTAGGAGCAAAGCCCGCTGTGCAGGAAGAACCAAGAGGCCCCGGGGGGAGTGGGGGGCCCCGAACCACGGGGACATCCCCGCAGGAGGAACCTCCCGGGGGTCCTTGGACCATAGGCCAGGACTCGGTGCCTGCCTTGCTTCCACGGAACAGCCCCGCCTGGGCTGAGGACAGTCCAGCTCCCTAGACCCCGTCCTCTTACCCGTTCCGTCCACTCTTTCTCGGCTCCTGGCACGCGGGCCCTGGGGCCCGGCTGGGGCAGCGGCGTCTCCCACATCTGGTCCAGGCCCAACTTGGGGTCCAGGAGCTCGGGACGTCCCGCTCTTCTCCTGCTCCACCGAGGCAGTGGCGTTGAGCCGTGAGCGGGACTGGGGCTGCAGTGGCGGCGGAGGATATGGACCAGAGGGGCTCAGAGGAGGGGCGCTGGAGTCCATCCTGCTGGCGAGAAAAGCTGCAAGTCAGACACCAGGGCCAGCCGAACTCAGCCAGCTCTGGCTTCTAGTTTTGGGTACAGAGAGGAGGTGACAAGGGAAATAGAGTGGGGGCTGCCCACCATTCTGTACGTGATCTCATCCAGCTCACAACAGCCCCCATAAGCCCAATCCCACACTCCAGTGGAGGAAATTGAGGGAGGACACTCACTCAAGGCCATCTGACTCAACAGGACCACAGCAGTCAGGCGCTGGGGCCTAACGTCTTGAGGCCATGAGCCCCTGCCTCACCAAGCATGAGCCTCGGGTATCCTCATCTGAGAAGTGGGGATGATGGAATGCTGGGAGGATTCAGTGAGAGAATCCACATGGGGCACCGAGCACAGTGCCCAGGCTGTGGTGGCTTGAATGGTGGCCTCCAAACAATACGTCTACCCAAAATCTGGGGAAGTGACCTGATTTGGAAAAAGGGGTCTTTGCAGATGTCATTAAGGATCTTGAGATGAGATCATCTGGATTAGGGTGAGCCCTAAATCCAGTGACTGGTGTCCTTACAAGAGGAGGGAAACACACAGAGAATGCTGGTGAAGACGGACGCAGAGATTGGGGAGATGCAGCTGCAAGCCTCGGATGCCAGGGAATCCTGGCAACACCAGGACCAGGAGAGGCAGGAAGGACCCTCCCGCAGAGCCCCCAGAAAGGGCCAACCCTGCCGACATCTCGATTTTGGACTTCTGCCCCCAGAACTGTGAGACAATAAATTTCTATTGTTTAAAGCCACCAGGTTTCTGGTAATTTCCTATGGGAGCAAAGAACAAGTTACATGAACGTGAGAAGGTAAGACAAGGACTGGGTGGGGGAAGGAGGAAGGGACACAGTGGGCAGAGCCAGGAGTTAGTCCCATCTACCCGACTGCAAAGCCCTCTGTGCCAGGCCCAGACCACAGGACACGAATCACAGAACTGGAGCCACCAGATATGATGCATATTAAAGAGCAGACTGATGTAAGCTGCGTGGGGTGTAAGAAGAGATGACCAGAACAGACGAGAGACAGATTCCAGGACTGTCTCACAACAAGGGGAAAGGGCTCAAGGAGTTGATAAAGGGGCTGCACATGCTGTTCAGCAACGTGGAAAAATCACCACTGACGCCATCAGGGCAACCACGAGTCACAGACCACAGGGCTGAAGGCTTTGTGAGGTCCTCTAGGCCTGGGATCCCGAACCCCCAAATTTGCTGAGACCACATGTGCACTGTGTGGAGGATCTGGGGAGGCTATTCCTCAAATTCCCAAAGGATTCCATGACCCTCCCCACCTCAAGGCCACATCCATCCTCCCCTGAGGCGAAGAAACTGAGCACAGAGCAGGGAGGGGCTGGCAATGAGGAAGCCTGGCTCCCGGCCCTAACCTGCCATGGCACATGCTCTCCGCCCCATGCTCACAGCTGTGTGGTCCTGAGCAGGCCATACCCTTCTCTGCTTCTTAGTCTCCTCAACTGTAAATGGGGACAATCATCCCATGCTTGGGGGCACTGTGAGGACCAGATAAGACCAGAGACCACGAGCTGCACGAGGGGGCCAGGGTCCTGGCCATCTCCAAATGCCCAGCTCCAAGCACCAAGCCTGCCAGAGTAGGTGCCCGACGGATGTTTCTGGAGACTGCTGTCACAGGAAGAGTAAGGGGGTCCCCAGGCTCCATACACCAGTTCCCAGGGGCTACACAACCATGTCTTCCCCAGCCCCAGCTACAAAGGAGCCCCAAAGATCAGATCTGCGTCCGCCAAAGAACCATGTAGATTTCAATCTGGACATTCCTCCTTCAGAGGGACCGAGCCCTTATTTTAAAAGATCCCCCTGGGTGCAAACAAAAAGCATGGTCAAGCCACGTGAGTCTGATTGGAATTCAACACAGTGCTCGGTGCTGTTTCCACTCCAGGCTTCCGGGAAACAAACAAAGAGGTAACTTCTGCAAAACTGTCATTTGGCTGAACGTGCAGACCAGAGTGAGCACGCAGCCCGCTGTGGGCAGGGAAACCGGCCAGGGACTTGCATACTGAACCCAGTCGTGCAGGCCACTGGCCCACCTCAGACAGCAAAGTCAGGTCTTCGAACCACACGGGGCCACTGCCTACCTGGCCATCTCCCGTGGCTCCCGCAGCCCCCGGAATCAAGCGCCACCTTCTTGGGATAGCAGGGGGCAGCTTGCCTTAATGAGAGCTGACCTGTGCCAGGGCACCTCAGTCATTAACAACACCAGCAACAAACACGTGTCCAGGATGTGCTCTGTTCTCAGCACTTCCCACCAACTTTCTTGGGGATCCTCACACAGCCCTGAGGAAGGCACTGCTGTTATCCTGGTGTCACAGATGGAGAAACGGCTTATCCTTCAACCCTCACCCCACTTCACTGACAAGGAAACTCGGGTCCAGAAAGGTGAGATTCCTGCTCAAGGCTCCGCAGCTCCTAGTGTCAGAGCTGGAATCCAAATCCACAGAGCCTCCGCAAACTCTGTAAGAGGGCTCTCAAACCGGAGCCTGCCTGCCTCTGCAATCCCACCCCACTCCCCCATCCCCCGTCCGTCCACTCACTCCCAGCACTTGCCGTCCTCTGACCTCCACGCCCCTGCTCCTGCAGAGCCCTCTCTCTGGAATGCCCTCCCCTCCCCTCCCCCAGTCCCAGACGTCTTCAAGTCAAGGGCCCACCTCGCCTCCTTCCCGGGAGTTTCCCAGCTGCCTCTGCTAAGTCCTGTCTCCCTCACCTGCTCTCAGGTAAATACATCGCACTCTCCATCAGAGCCCCCTCTCCACCAGAGGAGGACCAGAGAAACCCGTTTGTCTTGTCTGTCTCCCCCTCTCTCAGGAGCCCCTGGTCAGGGGGGACCATCCCTGGCCAACAGAACACAATTTTACCACCAGAAGCAACATGGGGAGTGAATCCCAGTTCTACCTTTACCAGTAGCTACTTAACCTCACTGCGTCTCAGTTTCCCTACCTATAAAATGGGGATAACACCTCGCATGTAGGGGTGCTATGGGGATTAAGGGTGTGAATGCTAAGAAAGCCACCTGCAAACTATAAAGCGTTAAAAACAAATCCAAGCCATTTCTCTCAGGTGCTAAATAAAGGCATAGTCAGCTGAAAAACATAACAGGAATTTCAGGAAAACACAGGTTCTGGCTGGCCTGTGGGGCTAAGTATTACGTGTGTCACATTACAGCCAAAATAAAACTGTTTAAAGTAAAATCTGTGGTTAGTAAGAATGGATGAATAAAGAAGAATTAATTTTCAGGGTCCCTGAGAGTTGGCCAAGCCCTTGTGGGATCAAAGGGCTTGTCACTGTAAAGCAGAACGGTTCACTGCCGCGGCTGTCCCAGGGAGCACCTCAGACGATGTCCCAGTGGAGGGACCGCAGGATGTCTGGTCCTTCCATCTCTGACGAGTCCTCTCTCCGAGACGCTGGAGCCCTGAAGGCAGGGGCTGTCTCTCCTCCTCTTGGAATACCTGCCCCCTTGCCCGGCACGCGAGGGGCCTAAGGTGCGAGGTACACCTGAGGCAGCCCAGCTGTGGGGAGAAGCCTCCCTGATCTCGCTGTGTGACCCCAAGCAGGTCCCCCTGGCCCCGGAACCCCAACAGCAGGACAAGAGCATCACCATTCCACTCCGCCCCAGCTCCACGACTCCTCCAACCCACCAACGTGTGGGGCAGTCAACCCCAACTGCCACCCGATGGCCAGAGTGGTGGCTTTGACCTGTCATTGTGTAAGATCCAAAAAAGCAGAGTGGCTGGCATTCTTTCCACATGAGCACCAAGGCATATTTTTATCCCATCGAAACACAAAATGCCAGCACCAAGGAGCTCGGCTGAGGGGCTGCCACCCCCGGAGACGGCTGCCAGCACCACTCGTCGACTGACTCACGGAGAATGACTGCGTGCGGACTGCTGCCCCAATGCTCTAACCCTTGCTCAGGCCGGCCCCCACTCTGCTCTCCTGGGGGGCAGCTCCAGCCCTGAAACAAGCCCCCGGGGGGAGCCTTAACGATGTCCACGTGCCCTCTGCCCAGAGCCTCCAGGCTAGGATGCGGCCCAGGGGAATGACCAGGGATGCTCGGGTTTCACACTCGCTCCCCGAGCTTGCTGTCCTCCCACATCCACACACAACTGCTGACTCCACGCCCCTGCTCCCACACAGCCCTCTCTGGAGTCTATCCCAGTGGTACCCTCCAGCACCGTCCAGAGAGGGCAGTGACGACAACTACAGCCCCTCCGCGTGGTGCAGCACTATACGGTGTCAACCACGACTGTACAAGGACGTTCACAGACAGGGACAAGGTCTGTGTAACACAGTTCAGCAGGATTTAAAGCAGCATGAGATACTGTCCCAAGTCTATAGAGGAGGAAAACAACATCTATCTGCAGAAAAAGATGGAAGAAAATGCCCCCAAAATGGTAATGCTGCTCTCACTGGTGGAGGGATTATAGGTGGTTTTATGCTAGTCTTTTTCTAAAGGTACTTCCCTAATTTCCTATAATGTATGTGCAATGTTTTCGGAATTACAACAAAATGTTAGTTTTATTTATTTATTTATTTATTTATTTATTTATTTGCTGAGGAAGACGGGCTCTGAGCTGACATCTATTGCCAATCCTCCTCCTTTTTTTTTTTCCCAAAGCCCCAGTAGATAGTTGTATGTCATAGTGGCACATCCTTCTAGTTGCTGTATGTGGGACGCGGCCTCAGCATGGCCGGACAAGCGGTGCGTCGGTGCGCACCGGGGATCTGAACCCAGGCCGCCAGTAGCGCAGTACGCACACTTAACCACTAAGCCACGAGGCCGGCCCCAAAATGTTATTTTAAAAGCACTCTGTGACCAAGCCCTAAGGGAGCAGGCCCAGGGGTTCCCAGGGTCTGGGATGTCTGCTCCAGCTGGCCCAGCCCAGCCCAGCCCAGCCCCCGGCACAGGGCCTGCTCCTCAAGACAAGGGCACGAAGCCCTTGGAGGCTCCCAGGTACCTATTTTTGCCCCAGAGTATTAAGGGCCAAACCAGGGAACATCTCAGCTCTACCCAAGGTACCAAGTTCACAGGAACAAGAGGGGGTCACTGGGAACACCCCGGGCAATGATCACAAGCAGCCAGGAACATCTTCCCAGGAGCCGAGCCCCCACCGCACACCTGGCTCCTACACCACGCCTGGCCAGGCGGGTCGGTGGGCCGATCCTGTGCCAGGCACTGCCTCCCTGCCCAGAGAGGACTCTTGTAGGGCCAGCCTTAGAGAACTCAGTCTGGACAGGAAGGATGACACCTAAACAGACAACCACAAAAGATGGAGCACTTGGGGGGTGCAGGCATAGAAGGCAGGCCTCACTCTGCTGTGGAAAAGGGGTAGGGTAGGGATTCTGCAAAGAGGACTTGACTAAGCCTTCAGGACAAGCAGGCATGAGCCAGACAAGGGTGGAGGGAGGGGGAGGAAGGTGTCTGGGCATTCCTGCAGGGGACTATCCAGGAGAAAAGGCTGAGGCAGAGCGAGCCAGCAATGTGGCCAGGGAGGTGCAGGCAGCTGCTGGGAAGCGACCTCTGGGGAGGGACACAGGAATGAGACCAGAGGCTGAGTAGGCAGCCAGGCAGGTCCCGAGGGCCTGAACGAGTGCCAGGCTTAGAAGACGAGGGCCCGAAGGAAGCGCAGGACAGTGCTGAGCAGGGAAGTGGCAGTTAAAGAACCACTGGGCTGTTGGGGACAGGATGGAGAGACCAGGGAGGGGGCTGGGAGGCCATCCAGGGAAAGGTGAGGAGGCCTGGTCCAGGGCAGGCATCTGAGCGGGGCTCCGGGGCCAGGAGAGACAGGAGCATCGCCAACTAAATGTGAGGGGTGGGGAAGCAGAGGGTGGCCTGGTGTGTGGCAGGGGCCAAGGTGGTGCTGCCCCCTTCTGAGGTAGAGATGCAGGAGGAGAAGGAGCCGAATGAAGCATAAAGCTCCCTCTCTAAGTATTAGCATTCTTATCACCACCATCGGGGACCAGGCTTTGGTCTCTGTCAAGCAGCGCAGACATGTAAGGGGGCCGGGCCTGAGCTGGGTCTGAGACCAGTCCTGAAGGCCTGTCCAGCCCTGGCTTGGGAGAGGCGTTGTGCGGGGGGCTCAGTGGGGAGCCCCTCCACATACTCTTCCCTCCTGGGAAGGAAGATGAGATGTTGTTCCCAGCTACCTTTCCTCTGTCCAGTCAAAGGTCCATCTGCTGGGGGAGGGGGAGGACAAAGGAACCTCTCTCTAAGACGCCGAGGGGCTCCTGTGAGAATCACAGCCCCTTGGAGACAGAGGGGAACAGGAACGGACACTGGAAAGTGTGGCCTCTGGGCCTCCATCAGCGCGACTCCCTCACCGGGGCTGCAGTGAGGGCGGACAGCCAGCACAGAGGGTACCCGGGGCACTCTGTGAGGGATGGCTCCTGGCAAAAGGGAAAGCTCTTTACACATGGCCAAATGCCAGGGGTCACAGTCCAAGGAGAGGACAGGTGGGGCTGCGCGGCGCTTGCTCTCAGCTTCCCAGGGCAGAGGTCTCCCACCAGGCTCCCATCGGGCTCCTGTCAGCTGCGTGGTCCCGGGCAGGTCAGCAAACCCCAAAAAGCCTCAGCTTCTTCATGTGTCAAATGTGGCTACAATGCCCACCCCTATGATGACTGACAGAGTTAAGTATCGTACAAATGTTAGTTCCTTGGAATTTCCTAACATCAACTACAAAAAACTGGGTGGGAGGACAGGGCCCCATCACCCCCAAAAGGGCTGGGTCAGATTCCCCAGAAAGCTTCCATCTGTCAAAACAGAAACTAATGTTCCCCAGGCCGGGTTAACACTAGCCAGGGTCCAGGGGCTATCGCGACACCCCCCCCCCAACTGAGGAGGAGCCCCAGGGGCACAGTAACTGCCACACAGATTCTAAGTGGGTTGTGGGCACTTCAGCTTGACCCAAAGGCTGCCCCGTCCGGCGGGCCTGGTACCCAGCGGCGGGCTGAACCCCCATCCCCCCCGCCGCAGCCCCACCTGAGGTCCCAAACGCCTTCCAGCGGCCCATCTGACGGCCACGGGGGAAGGGCCATGACGGGCCAGCTCAGGACCGGCCCTGCGGGGCGCGGGGAGGGGGCGCCCCTACCACCCGCCAACCCCTCGGGCCTCTTTTCCCGCCCGCAATGGGGTTCACGGCGAGGCTCGCGGGCGTGACAGTGCGCGCACCGCGCGGTGCCCACGGTTCTCGGGGTGCCGGGGCTGGGGCCGAGGGGGCGTGCACCCCCGAGGAAGACCGGACCCAGACCCGGGCAGGGATCGCTGTGGGCATCGCGGAGCGGGTGGGACCCGGCCCTCCACCTTCTGAGGAACTTGCAGGGTCGTTGGGACCAGCGGCCCATCGGCTCAGATGGGGAAACTGAGGCCCGAGGCGGGCGGCGCCTCTCGGCGCTCCCAGGTCTGTCTCCAGCCCCCCGCGCGGCCGTCCCCCCGCCCCGAAGTACTCACCGGCCCGCGAGTGGGCGCAGGCGGCGCCGCGACGGCCTCGGGCCTCTGCGCCCGCCGCAAAGTTGCTCGGGAGGAGCAGGACGCACCGCCGCCAGAGGGAAGCGGCCGCGACGGAGCGAGCGGCGCTGGCTGCAATGGGAGCCGGCGAGCGCGGACCTCGGCGCGGGGAGGGGCGGGGCCGGGGGCGGGGCCGCAGCCCTCGCTCCACTCCCGACGCGGCCCGGGGCACGCGGCTCCGGCTCGGCCCGCTGAGCGGCCGGCGCGCCTGCCAATCACCGACGCCTTCGCCAATCACGGCGCGCCTCGCCGGGCTGCCTCCGACTCGTCCCCTGCTCAGCCAGGCAGGAGAGCGCCGGGGGGGCGGGTCCGACCCGCCCACGGCGAAAGTTTCCGAGCGGACTCGGGCCACGGCCCCGCCCCGTCCTGGCCCCGCCCCGCCCCGGCCCTGGCCCCGCCCGCACGGCGCCTTGTGGCCGGGCGAAGCTGGGCACCTCCGTAACAGGTGGTTGGACACCTGGACAAAACTCGGGCCGCCTTCCACCCACCACTCTGGCCCCAGAGCCCCCAACTTCAGGTTTATTATCGTTGCTATTGCAATATTAACTAACACGTTGAGCGCCTACTGTGCGCCAGACGCCTTAATTCCTGTCCGGCCAGAGACAGAGAGGCCCTGCTGATTCAGCCGCAGGAATGGAAAAATGTGGCCGATTTAAATGTGTACATGTAACCAAGGGCGGCTTCAAGTGCACGAAATCAGATGCAACGTAGCACGCTTTTCACAAGGTAATTGTGGGGGTCGTTTAAGAATACGTATTAGCCAAAGGAATGATGGCAGTTCGGAGACTCTCTTATTTCGGTCCTGTCCGGTGTCTGAGAGGTGTGGTTTGGAGATGAGCGCAAAGGTCCGTCCTTGAAACAGGCCCTTGGGACTGTGAGGCCCTGGCCTGTGGCCCTGGGTCCCCTTGGGCTGTCTGCTCCATGTCTGCTCCTCACAGCCAACCTGAGATGCCTGTCCTGGGTTATTGCAGAAACTGGCTCAGAGTGGCTGCCAGAGATATGTCACCAACACGTTGGGAGCAAAGATTCCATATGGTTTGGGGATGAGTTCTATCCTCTGGACACATTGTCCCGGGGACTTTTGTCAAAGCTGCGCGGTTCCCATCAGTGACCTCATTCTGTTCTCCTGCTGCCCCCTCCATCCCAAACAGCCGCTGAGCAGCAGGCCCTCTGCCCCAGGGTCAGTCTGGGGGGCTTTCACACACTGAGGTTTTTCATCTCACCCCTAATGAGCCAATGAGGCTGGTGGCATTGGGCTCATTTTTATTGATGAGAAAATTGGGGCTCGAACATAGATAGTTATCTGTCCAAAGTCAAAGAGGACTCTTTCCCCCTTATAATATACTAATTATAGAAAATTCAGAGAATTATAAAAGTAGAAAGAAGGAAAAAAATCACGCAAAGACGATTACTGTTCACATTTTGGGGTCTATGCACATTTAAGAAAGGGTTTCCAAGGTCTCGCAATGGCACCGTCTGTGCGTGCATGACGATTTCGCTAGAGTGGAGTCCCGGGAGCAGGAGCACTGGGTCCTGACAGGCTTTTTCTTGTTTACCAGAACAAATCTCTCAAAGTTGTTTCCAGTTTACCTCTGAGGGGCACACATGGCATGGGGAATTACCTTTTTTTCACCCTTTCCTAATATGGTAAATACAAAGTGGTCTCTTTGCAATTGTATTTTGCATTTCCATGGTAACTAAGGAACATTTCATATTTCTCAATTTTGAGAAGCATCCACTCTCTCATTGATCTATTGGGAGCTTAGAGGCTCTTTAAAAACCAATTAGACATTTCTTTTTTTTTTTCCAACCCACCCATTTTCATGGCCCATTCTCTCCTTCAGCTCTGAGCACCAGGGGCCAATCTGAATGGCTCCTGCAGCCCACCTGTGGGAACCAGCAGCCCTCCTTACCCCTGCGGGGCCGGGAACAGAGAGGCCTCTCCCAGCAACTCGGCAGGACTTTACCAACTCGTTCTTCATTGTCTACAGGAACAAAAGTGGCTTGTCATCCACCACCTGCTGGCTGGCCACTGCCCAGGAGACCACCACGGCCTGGTCCCTATGGGCCCTGAACACACAGCACAGAGAGGCCAGGATGCTCCCCAAACCCTTTATGGGGACTCAATCAGCAGAGGGAAGAGGACAGAGTGAACAATTCCTGCTGGGAGGCCTAGGAGAAGAGAGAAGATGAACTTCAAGAAAAATGTAGGAGACTGTGTAAGGAGCCTCAGGCAGAGCATAGAAACATCTCACATACTCCATGGAACGAAAAACCTTAAAAAGTCCTAGGCAAATTCAGATAGAGAACTGTCAAGGAGAGGAAAATTAGCAAAGTGGAAGATAACATGGAGGAAAAACACACGCAAAGCATCAGGAAGGAAATGAGAGGCTTTTGGGACGGCTCCAGCAGGAACAGCACGCAAAGAAGAGGAGCTGGAGGGGACACAGAAATGAAGAAATGCTAGAAGAAAATGTCTCTGGGCTGAAGCTCTGCTGTGAGGTCTCCAACTCCAAGCGTAAGGAGAAAGTCTTGCAGAGTTCCAGAAAGAACTGGTCAGGTCCAAAGGCAGGAGAACCAGGGGGTACCAGATTCCTAGGAAGCTTTGGAACAAGGTACAGGGGCTCCGATTAACCACTCAAGGAGGTGGAATTCATCTGCCAGGACAAAAGAAAGAACATACCCGACATAGCAAGACGCAGAAAGGGCACCAGCCACGCCCCCTTTCACCCACGGAAGTTCCCTCTCCCCGAGACAGTTCAGGCACAGAGGAGATCCCAAGATAGAGCAGACTTGGCGGACAGGAAATGGTGGTGAGCACTGACCCTTGCAAAATCTGTGGTTAAAGCTGAATATGCCTGGGATTTTGCATAATTACTAAGTAAGGATTCTTGAAACATAGGCCACATACTGTGAAGGAAACCCATGTTAGCCTGGGAGTGAAAAATAGAATCGACCTTAGCAAAACCCAGGAGTGGAGCAGTCAGAATATTCTAAGATCACATCTGGTTGGGGGAGAGGGAGGAAGTGCAAGGATCTGCTTTGGTGCCTGGCGGGGGCGGGCTGGAGGGGAAGTGGGAAAGGAAAATCTTGTGGGCGGGGACGTCGATACCATTTACTTTTCATACATTAACAGGGAAATATCAGCTTAATTATGACTACCAGGGATCAGAAAGCAGCAACGAGTGGAAAAGGAGCAGAGCAGAACTTGTGAATTAATGGGGAGAGGTAGGGGGGTGGAGAGGATGAGCGAGGAGGCAAAATTAAGGAAGAGGAAATAGCGATAACAGAGCTTCATAAAGTAGACGTAAAATGAGATGAAATAAATATAACCATGGACACCAGCTTTCATAAGGAATGTGAATGGGCTGAATTTCCCATCAAAAGCCTGTAAGATTGGGGTCAAAATCAAAATCCAGTTACGTGCTATTTACAAGGAATGCACCTAAAATGCTGACGAATAGAGGATCAAAGTGGACACCATGTGAAAACTAAAATTAAAAGAACAAGAATGGCAAATTAATATTGTACAAGGAAGAATTCAAGGCAGAAATTATTCACAGGAACAAAAAAGGATGTTATGTAATGGGGCAAGGTACAATCCACAAAGATTCAATAGTCGTAAATCTCAATGTCCCAGAAAATATAGCAAGTGAGATGGTTACTTTCACATGTCAACTTGACAGGGCCACAGTACCCACATTTGGTCAAATACCATCTGGATGTTGCTGTGAAGGTATTTTTTCAGATGAGAGTGACATTTGAATCAGTAGACTTTGACTGAAGCAGATGACCCTTCGTAACCCTTCATAAATTAGATGGGTGGGCTTCATCTAATCAGTTGAAGGCCTTAAGAGAAAAAGACTGAGGTCCCCCGAGGAAGAGGGAATTGTGTCAGCAGACTGCCTGCAGATTCAAGCTGCAACATTAGCTCTTCCCTGGGACTCCAGCCTGCTGGCCTGCCCTGCAAATTTCAGACTTGCCAGCTCCCAGAATCATGTGAGACAATTCCTTAAAATAAATCTCGCTCACTGTCTCTCCTTTTATATATATGTACCAGACATATATATATATATATGGCAAGCGGCCTGTCTTCACTCCCCCACGGAGCTGAGCCCCGTGCTTTGCTGTTGAGTACTGAATGAATGAATGGATGAATGAATGAATGAGTCACCCTGTGCAAGGACCTCACATAGCTCTTTCTTGCCTTCAGGACAGTGTCCAGACTCTGTAATGTGACATCTAAATATGCCTCCCATGCTTCATTCCTGTTGTCCCACCTGCGGTCCTCTGATTTCTTCCCCCAGTTTTCAGATTCTGCATTCTTGTTCTCATCTCGCTTCCTTCCCGACTCCTATTTAAAGCCTACTTCAGTTTACTCGACAAACATTTATTGACTTCCTACCAGCTCCAAGCACAGGGCTACACGCCAAGCATACAAAGAAAAGTGAAGAAGGAGGTTGGTGAGTTACCTTCTGAAGGACAGCAGAGATGGGGGCTTTTTCAGGAGCATCAGTGTATTAGGCCAAAAATGGTCCCCCAAGATACAGGTCCTACTTCCTGGGACCTGTGAATGTTGCCTTAGTTGGAAAAACGTCTTTGCAGATGTGATTAAATTACACGTGGTGTAATTGCATGAGATGGGAGATTATCCTGGATCATTGGGTGGCCCTAAATGCAATCACAAGTGTCCTGGTAGGAAGGAGGCAGAGGGAGATCTGACGCACACACGCAGAGGGGAAGGTGATGGGAAGATGGCGAGAGAGAGATTTGCTGGCCTGAGGACTGGAGTGACATGACCGCAAGCCAAGGAGCGCTAACAGCTGCCAGAAGCTGGAAGAGGCAAGAAACGGACTCTCCTTGATTTCAGCCCAGCGATACCGATTTCAGACTTTTGGGCTCCAGAACTGTGACAGAATAAATTTCTGTTGTTTTCAGCTCTGAGTTTGTGGCAATTTGCTACAGCAGCCGTGGGAAACTAATATAATCATAATGTTACGTCACGCCCACAGCCCTGCTGTGATCTGGTGTCCACTGGGGTCCTGCAGATGAACCTTGGGTCAGGCACGGAAATTCCAGCCCTCGAAACTGTGGCCTTGGGGTAAACACCACCTGACTATGGAACTAACCCCTCAGCATTTAAACCAATGCTCGTCAAAATCAAGGAACCAAGGGGCCAAATCAACCTCTCGTCGGTCCCAGGAGGATAAACGAGCAGTATTGAGAGTTGGGGACACGGCCGCGGATGACCAGGCTGAGTGTTCCAGAGACTGTGGCCCTCAGGGCATCTGCAACCCTCAGTAACCGAGGTCCTGAGTGTGTAGCCCACTGGGCCAGTGAGATAAGAACAACACGTGGGGGCGTGTTGGCCACACATTGGACTTCTAGGACAGTGTGACCCCAGGACCACTCACATCAGCATCCTCCCCAAGGGAGGTCCAG